ACAGACACTTTACCAAAGAAGACATTCAGATGGCTAACAAGCACATGAAGAAATGTTCAAAATCCCTAGCTCTAAGAGAGATGCAAATTAAAACTACTATGAGATAGCATCTCACCCCAGTAAGAATAGCAAAATTTAACAGAACAGCAAGCAACAGATGCTGGCGAGGTTGTGGAGAAACTGGAACCCTTATTCACTGCTGGTGGAAATGTAAAATGGTGCAACCAATGTGGAAGGAGGTATGGCGCTTTCTCAAAAAGTTGCAAACAGAAATATCATTTGACCCAGCAATTCCACTACTGGGAATATACCCCAAAGAGACCATATCTGACATCCAGGAGATATATGCACACCCATGTTTATCACGGCTGTGTTCACAATAGCAAAGGAGTTGGAAACAACCGAAGTGCCCATCAACAAACGAACGGATAGAGAAGTTGTGGTATATTCACACAATGGAATACTATGCTGCATTGAAAAATAAGGAACTAATGCAATATTATTCAAAATGGGTGACCCTGGAGGACATTATGCTGAGTGAAGTATCTCAGGCAGTCACAAAAGGACAAATACTGCATGGTGCTACTGCTGTAAAACAGGACTGACATGGGGTTGGAGGGAGACTGAGAAAGATGGGTTCAATAATATACACTGCATTGAAACAGATAAGGGAGAAAACTGTTTAAAAGGGATATGTGATTAGGTACTTTTGTCATGGCAGGAATCCAGAATGAAGGTTGCATAGTGGAGTGGACCTGGGGGAGGGTTTGTATAACAATGAAAGAATTTTACTTTTCTTGGTGGTAGTGTACTTTGGGGAGGGTTGGGAGGCAAGAAAAGTGCAACAATGAATGAATGGAAAGCCAAAGTCTCTGTAAATTTTCATTGAAATGAATAATTAAAAAAAATAAATTGACAAGATCCTAAAAAAAGATTAACAAGCATTCTAACATTATTAACAAATCAATGATTACTACCATTTCAATGAATAAAAAAATTTTAAAAAGTATGTGACAAAATTTGTCATCCATTTTGATAGAAAACTCTTTTCAAACTGAACTGAGAAAGTAATTCTTTGAGTCTGATAAACACACATTAAAACCTAGAAACAGTAATCACATTTAATGGTGAAATATCCGAAGAACATGAAAACGAAAATACTAAAAGAAGAAAAGGTGCTCTTCCAGAAGATGTAATTTTCTGTCTTTAATAATAACACACAAAAAAAATCTAGCTTACTCATCTCGCTTGTAATGGGCTCTGTCACATACCCAATACACACCTGAAAAAGTTTTTAGTCTCACCTTGCACAGGTAATTGTTATGCCATGGTTCTTGAGGATATAAACTGGTATAACAAGTTTAGAGAACTACTTAGCAATATTTAGAACACTGAAGATGTACAAATTCTTCTTCCATCTATTTCAGTATTTATAGTTATTATTTATAAATTCTCAGCCCATTGCCATCTAGTCAGTTCCAAATAGAGGTCTCGAAGATCACAGGAGAAATGCAGTTTCCAACACTGTAAACTTTTACAGAAGTGAACTGCCTTAACCTATAGTACTACCAAGGCTCTTTTCAGTACTAGACACAGCAAAATTTGTCAGAAAAGTTGTGTGATCTCCTGGTCTTCCTAAATGCATTTTATAACTCACTATTTGATCACAACTCTCAAGTGGAAAAGCACTCTCCTAGAATGCTGTAGCACATATGTAAACACAAGAGACGACATAAATACACATATAGGCCTTAGGTGGACGTTTACTTTATTTGAGCTGTGTTGTATGACAGCTCACTTATCCAAAGCAGTGAGCAAATCTATGTCTGCACTGAAGAGTAAGTATATGTTCACAGCAACATGATTAAAACTGGAAAGAATACATAAATTTCTATCAATAAATTGTATACTTATAAATAAAATATCATAAAGTAGTTACTTGGAATTATCACATATGGTCCACATTCCATGCAGAAGTTATTACCAGGACTGATTTGCTTTATGTTATGCAAAGCTGCCTATCCTAAATAGTGTTAACAACCAAATTAAAAGAATCATACCCAAAGGATTCTTCTTGTCTTTACATTTTTCCTTGAACTCGACGATAATTTTTTTCATAAGTTCATCAACAGCTGCATTGGAAGGTGCACACACAAGGACACGGTTTTGTTTGATTTTGGCATTGGAATTTTCATCTGAATATCCCTTCCTTGGGTTCTACAATTTATCACACATAAGCAAAATAAAATACTGATAAGGTCTATTATGCAGTTTTAAAGTTATGCTTTATTTTCAAATATATTCAGAAGTTTCCATTATATTTAAAAATAAGAAATGTACATCTCAAATTTATATTACTCAGGCACAAAATTTTAACTGCTCGAGGCTTACCTTTTTATCATTTATCTTAATCAATATTCAATCAAACCAAAAGGCAATTCAAGAATACATTTAATATGGTTTCCTGGCATTAGATGAGACCTATAAAAAACCTGGCGTAAAACCTATCTAATCTTTTGGATTCGTTTCACATGTGGTATCATTTTCTGCTTTCTCTTAACTTTCCCTCTCTCTGCACATCTTTGATAAAAGCTGCACACAGTAACTATAAAAAACACAAAAGTGAAAGGTGGAAAAGAATTTTAATACTAAATACATGTAGCAATTAAGTAAAACAATGGAATGTATTAAATTAACAGCACTTCATTCATACTCTACCTCCGTCAGTAGGCGGTATAGGAGGCCAACAATAGTCTTTGATTTTCCTGTTCCAGGTGGTCCATGAATAAGACAAATTTTGGCAACTGATGGTGAATGCTTCACCATAGCATAGGCAGTTTCTATAGCTTTCTTTTGGTCTTCATTGAAATCTCTTAAGTAGTTAATCTAAATAAGAGACATTAGTTAAAATGAGTTGTTTTTCTGTACTGGGACATGAGGGGGGAAAAAATGAAACATGTCATTTGAATTTTCCCTCATCTATACCACCCAATAGCTTTAGTTTTGGTTAGACAAGACTCCAAAGTGACCTATAATCTGTCAGCTAATTTTCCAACTGGAAAAAAGGCTAATTACTTACAGCTAATTGTGGTTCTTACAATAGTCATAATCAATTACATTTACTTTTATAGTTTAATTCTAATTATCTGATTCTGAAATTAATTTATCCTTTAAAAGTAACTATTCTAAAATTATTTGTTTCCTAACACAATGCGATGTAATGAAGAGTGTAGGCTTTTGCAGTGAGACCAATTCTACACCTGTTTCCTTTACAAGTCACTAAACTTTTAAACTTCTGTGAGCCTCAGCCTGTGTCATATTAAACCTGGGTTTTATCAAAGGATTAGAATTCAATGAGTCAATGTATGAAAACCCTAACTATATAGTAAACCAAAATCTTTTGCCACCAACTCACTGTGAGTTGATTCCAACTCACAGTGATATCATGTATTACAAACTATATTTCAGGGGTTCCAAAAGGTATTCTTGGCTATAATCTTTATTGGATCAGGCCTTTCTTCCACAGAATTTTTGGACAAGTTCAAAAACATCAATGTTTCAACTAGTAGCTTAAAACAAACTGTGCCATCCAAAACCACTGCTGTCAAGTATTTAACTTCCCATAGGGTTCCAACGCTATTAAATCTTTATGGAAGTATAGCACCATCTTTCTCTCCCAAGAGCAGCTAGCTGAACTGTTAACCTGTCAGTGATCAGTCTGGCACTTCATCTACTATGCCAAGAGGGCTTTCTTTAGGCCATTAAGACACATAGTATTAGCACAAAGTAGGAGTTTAAAAAAAAGGTTTCCTTTCTCTATGTTAATTTTTTGTTATTTCAGACTGAGCAGCAGAACCGGTCATCCACTTTCAAAATAAAAGGTCTTAGAAAGTTCTATGACTAACAAAACAATATTGTTTGATAACAGTGCTAGAAAAGGAGTCTCTAAGATTGGAAGGTACTCAAAATGTGACTGGAAAAAGAGATGATTCCTCAAAGTAGAGTCTTAATAATGAAGATGGAGTAAAGATCTCACCCAAGGGGAGCTCTGGTGGCCTAGTGGTAAGGAGCTGCAACTACAATCCCAGAGGCGCATGGTTCGAATCCACCAGATGCTCTGCCGGGTAAGGAGGGACAATCTCCTCCTGTACCAGTCAGATCTGATTTGACGGTACACTCACACAAAAATAATAAAATTTAAATAAAAAAAAATCTCACCCAATGAAGGAACTTCCTTTACTAAGGTAGCAAGACTCAAAATGAGCATAAGCAGCTATAAGTAGCCATGAATAATTAGAATGTGGATGTATAAAGTATGAATCTAGGAAAACTGGAAGTTATAAAAAAAGAAATGGAAGATATAAAGATCAACATCACAGCCATTATTAGATAAGGTGAGAAGTAATGGTATTTGGTCATTTAAAAATCAGACAATCATATGATCTAGCATGGTAGGAAAGATTAACTGAAGAGAAACAGTATTGTATTTATCATCAAAAACAACATTTTGCTGCAATTCTGAAGGTGGGTGGTTCAAATCTACCAGGTGCTCCACTGGAGAAGAAAGGGCAATCTCCTCCTGTGCCAGCTGGATCTGATGTTACAATACACAAAAAGAGAAAAAACTAAAAATAAAAAATTCAAGATCTATCCTGAAGTATTCTGACTGATGGGATCCTATACAAACATATACAGAAGACCTGTTAATCAACTCTGATTCAAATACATACTCAAATAACCAAGGCCAAAGAAGAAGAAATTAAAGACTTCCAGTGCCCATCTGCAGTCTGAAATTTATCAAACATGTAAGCAAGATGCATTAGTACTATAACTGGTGACTGAAATGCAAATGTTAGAAACAAGTAAGATCTGGCAGTTGGGAAATATGGTCTTAGAGATACAAATAAGGTTAAAGATTGCATGACACAATTTTGTAAAATTATTTATCCATTACAAACATTTCTTATAAAAACCATAAAAATGGTGACTATACAATTGAACCTCATCTGATGGAATACTCACTTAGAAATCAGATAAACTTATCTGTGGAAAAGGATGCTAGAAGCTCAATATCAACAGTCAAACAAGCCATAAGGCTGACTATGGTACAGACCATCAATTACTCACATTCACATTTACATTGAAGCTGAAGAAAATGAAGATGAATCTCTACTAAAGGCAAAACATGACTCTTAAGTTCATCCCACATTAATTTAAAATTTACCACCAGAATAGATTTCATTCACTGAAAACTAATGAATGACTTAAGACCAGAAGAGTTGTGGGATCGCATCAAGGACAACATAATGAAGAAACCAAAAGGTAATGAATTATAAAGACAGGGAAGAAAGAAAAGACTAAAGTGAACGTCAGAAGAGATTCACTCTGAAACTTGTACTTGAATGTGAAGAAGCCAAAGGGGGAGAGAGAGATGACTGAAGATTTCAAAAAAACAGCTTGAGAAGACAAAGGAAGGTATTACAACAAAATATGCTAAGAGCTGGAATAAGAAAACCAAAAGAGAAAAACATGCTATTTTCTCCAACTAAGAGAACTAAAGAACAAATTCAAGCCTTGAATTGCAATACTGAAGGATTCCTTGGCAAAATAGTCAATGATGCAGGAAGCATCATAAACAAATGGAAGGCATATGGAGTCACTGAACCAAAAGTAATTTATTGACACTAAGCCATTTCAGGAAGCATTATTTTATTAAGAACCAATAGTAACAGAGGGACAAGTAGATGTAAAAACTAAGGCCCAAGGAATTATTCCACATTCTAATTATTAATAGATGTTTACATCTGTTTCAAGAGAGCTCTAGTGGCTTACCCATAGGCATGTGCTAGAATCCTTCATTGCTCCATGGGAGAAAGATAGGCAATTTCCTGTCATACAATTTATTTCCTCTGAAAACCTGCTGAACCATCAGCTATAGGTCAATTCTAACTCAAGAACACTTAACATAGATCTTTCACATTTTGAGTCTTGTGATCTTAGCAAATGAGAGTCTTTCATTGGGGGAAAACTCTACTCCATCCATGTCATAAAACAGACTCTTGATTTGAGGAGACAGTTCTTCTCCAGTCGCATTTTGAGTGCCTTACAACAAACAGAAGCAGCCTTGGATGCACCCATTAGCCTATGCCAAGAATCTGAAAGACAGCTACCTGGTCAACTAACTTCTTATCCCTATTTTTTGCCATTTCAAAAAAAGGGTGATACAAAAGAATATGGATGTTACCAAACAATATCACATGCAAGTAAAATCTTGCCAAAGACTATTAAAAAAAAGGCTGAAATGAGACATTGATAGGAAACTTCCAGGAATTCAGGCTGGATTCAGAAGAGCCTGTAGAAGAAATGATATCACTGCTTATGTCAGGTGGGTCTTGGCTAAAAGCTGAGAATACTAAAAAGATGTTTACTTATGTTTTATGACTACGCAAAGGCATTTCATTATGTAGATCATAAAAAAATTTCATAATATTGAGGAGAATCCCGAAACATTTTATTTGTGCTCATGTAAAACCAAGACACAGACCAAGGTGCAATTGTCCAAAGAGAACAAGGGAACACTGTGTGGTTTAAAATTAGGAAAGGTGTTGTGTCAGGGTTCTATCTTTTCAACTATTTAATCTGTATGTTAAAAGCAGGTCATTTGAGAAGCTTGAACTCTATGAAGAAAATGTAGCCATCAGGACTGGAGAAAGACCTACCAATGACATAAGTTAAACAAATGACAAAACTCTGATTGTAAAGGCTGAAGAGGACTTGAAGTACTTACTAAAGATCAAAGGATTCAAATATGGATTACAATTCAGCATTAAGAAAACAAAATCTTCACCACTGCCTCAATAGGTAACATCATGATAAATGAAGAAAAGACTAAAGTTGTCAACAACTTAATCTTGCTTGGATCCAACACTAACACCCTTGGCACCAGTAGTCAAGAAATTAAAAGACATGCTACACTGGGAAAAATCTATTATCAAGGATGTCTTTAAAGTGCTAAGATATCAGTTTATGGACTGAGGTGTCACTGATCCTACTCATGGTATTTTCAATTGCTTCTTACACATCTGAAAGTTAAACAACAAATAAAGAAGACTGAAAAAGAACTGATCAAAGTCTATGAATGTCTATGAGTGTGGGCAAAGACTATATATACCACGGACTGCCAAAAGAACAAATAAATCTATCTCTGAGGAAGTGTACGCAGGGTGATACCTTAGAGGCAAAGATGGTAGAACTCTGTTTCATATATTTTGGGCAGGCTATTTGTCTCTGGAAAAGGATATTGGGTTCAGAAAGGTAGAGCCTTAGCCACAGAAAGACTCTTAACAAGATGGACTGACAAAGTGATTGCAACACTGGGCATGTCATGTCAGAGATGAGGATGGTAGAGGATAGGATAAGGTTTCCATCTGTCATTCACAGGGTTGATATGAGTCATAGTTTACTCAATGGTACTTAACAAGTTTAATTTCCCCATACTTATACACAGATTTGGTGGCACAGTCAGTAGAAAACGGCATTGCTAACCCACAGGCAGTACCTCTCTGGTGATTCAAATCCACCAGTATCTAAGGAAGAAAGACAGGCAATCTCTTTCCATATGATTTACAGCCTCTACTCAATTCTTCATCTACCACTTAAAGGCAAAATAAACATAATTCTATTTCTGCATTGCAATAAACTAAAAAAAATTTAAATGAGATGCCAGCCTAAAATTTTAATGTTGCTATTCTTCAAGCATACTTTAATTCTTGCTTGTACTGAACTGCTTTCCTGAGGAGGCAAGCTGATTAACCTTAATTATATACTTTGCAACATTAAAGACATACACACTTTAAAGAAAACTAAGCACTAAACAATTTCAATGTACATTCACAGTAATTTTATCTTTGTTGTAGACAGACATAGCAGCTAAAAAGATAATGCTTTAACTTTCTGACTTGATACATCATGACTTTATCTGGTATCATACAATCATTACTTACAATTCTCTCAGATGTTGTAGTTAATAAATCTTTGGTACAGAAATCCATAGGGTTTGGATTCAGAATGGCTCTGGCCAGTTGGTTTCGACCACTCAACAAAGACATAGCTTTTAATTTCCTTTGTGTAGTTACCAGAGAACTGATTACAACACATTTCACAAGTTCATTTAAATTAACAGGCAAATTGTCTTCAGTCTGGATATAAAGGGAACACTCAGCTTTTCCATTACGCACTATAATTTAAAAAGAGAAGGCAACATCAGAAACTAGTGAATACTGTTGCCCAGTTAAAAAGGTTATTTAAAATTTGGCATTTTTTTGGTACAACCACTCTGGAAGGCAATCTGGTGTTTCCTCAAAAAGCTGAACACAGAAATTCCATATGACCCAGCTATCCCACCACTTAGAATATACTCTGAATACTCCGAGAAAATTAGAACTGAGACACAAATGGAAATTTTACACCAATATTTATAGCAACATTATTCACCCTCACAAGAACACAGAAACAGCCCAGATGTCCAACCACAATCAAATGGACAGAGAAATTGTGGTACGCTCACACAATGGAGCACTATGCAGCACAAAGGAGCAATGATTTTGAAAATTACTACATAACTGAGGAGGGACTAGAGTGCATTATGTTAAGTGAACTAAATCAGTCCCTTAAGGACAAATAATGTATAAGATAATTATTATAGAGATAAGAAAGATAACTAGTAACATGTGTATGAGGATCCAAGGGGGTAAGGGAAGGTAGGACCAGAGGGGTGAGGGTGTGCGGGGGGTAATTACAGTCTCACATAATTTGGTAGGTAGAGGGAGGGGTGAGAAAAGGAAATAAGATCCAGTGTGAAAAACAATGTACACAAACTTTGTAAGCAAATCAGCATAAACTTTTTTTTAAAAAATTAGGTATTCTATAGTTTACATTATATATAAAATATATATAATTAGATATATATTATAGTTCTATAGTATTTAAATAATCTACTCAATATTTAGTGAATGCTTCCTAAGAACTAGGCAGTGTTCTTGCCCACAAAAAAAATTTATTTCCTAGGATGAGGAAACCAATAATCATATACACCTAGTGGATACTGGTAATAGCTATGAAAAAAAGTAATTAGCCTCAAAACCAAAGCTGAAATATGATTTCAATTATAACAAATGATCTGAAAACTATAACAAACACAATGACAAATAAAAGACCACTTCAAAAAGAGAAGATTATTACAAAAGAGAAGATTTTAAGTCATAAAACCATATAGAGTAATAAATCTTGGGCCTATTCCAGGAAAAATAAAAAAAGATTCAGAATGACAGGTAATCTAGTAAATGTGCATCTGATAAATGTATACCAAATATATGGTTGATAAAATATGACTGAAAGGAGTATCAGTAAATAAGCTTATCTAAATTAACTACCATTAATTTTCAATGTTGTATGTATTTACTTACTGACTGAAGTACGATGAAATTTATAAACATAACCACAATAATATTCATAGGGATCTTGTAGGAGATTTCTTTCTGTATTGTTCTCTTTATTTTGTCTTTCAGGAACCAAAAATACCAAGTCATTTTCCTTTGGATGAAACTGCTTAACCAGATCAGATTCCTCAAGATAAACTAATGAAATAAGAATAACATTTATACAATAATAAAAGAATATAAACATTTATACAACTCTACTAGAATTCTTTTAACGAAGCTTAACTTAAATGAAGCTAAATATTTGTTCTACTTTTACAGATATAAAGACCAAGGAATGCTAGATATTTACATCTCTTTTCATACACACCCCCTAAGAGATGTATATTCCCATTCCAAAAAAAGGTGACCCAACAGTGTAAAAATTACAGAACAATATCACATGCAAGCCAAATCCTGCTGAAAATCATCCAGAAATGACTGGAACAGTATACTGACAGAAAACTTACCAGATATACAAGCTGGGTATAGAAGAAGCCATAGCACTAGGGACATTATAACCAATGTCCGATGGATCTTTGCTGCTGTTATGTGTTGTCGAGTTGTCTGCAACTCATAGGAACCCTACGTACAACAGCCCTAAGCCCTGCTCCATCTGGTGCCAATCTCACTGTCTCTTACAAAACTACCCCCATTTCCCCCAGTAACTGAATCAATCTGTCTCATCAAAGGCCTTCCTCTTCTGCACTGTCCCACCACTCTCCCAAGCATGATGTCCCTCTCCAAGGACAGTCGGTCCCTCCTTGTAAAATGTCCAAAGTGTGTCAGCCCAAGCTTCAAAATCCTTGGCTCCAAGGAGCAGCTTAGTTTCACCTTTTCCAGGACAAACCTGTTTCTCAGCAATCCATGGTATATTCAATCCTCTTCTCCAGCACCACAGCTCTCAAAGGCATCGATTCTCCTTCTATAATCCCTAGTAATTGTCCAGCTCTCTGATGCATAGCAAATGACTGCAAAGACCATGCCCTGTATATCAAGTGCACCTTAGTCTCCAGACTGACATCAATGCTCTACAGTACTTTAGAGAGGTCTCTGTCAGCAGACTTTCCCAATGCAATACATCTTTTAATTTCCTGGCTGCTGATTCAAAAGTGTTGATTATGGAGCCAAACAAACTAAAGCTGTTTACAATCTCAGGGCAGAAAATACCAGAAGAATATCTAACTGTGTTTCATTGACTATGCAAAGGCATCTGACTGTGTGAATCAACAAATTGTGGCTAACACTAAGAACTGGGAATTTCAGAACATCTGATTGTGCTTATGCAAAACTTATGCTTGGACCAGGAAGGAGACACTTCATGGTTCAAAACTGGGAAAGGTGTGCATCAGGGATGTCTCTTGTAGTTATACCTTTTCAATTTATAGGTGAACAGATCATTCAGGAGGCTGTGGTATCAGAAACGGAGGAACACTCATTAACAACCTGCAATATGCAAATGACATAACCTTGCTTGCTAAAAATAATGAGGGCCTAAAGCATCTGCTGCAGAAGGTCAAAGACTTTTTCAATATGGATTGAAGTTCAACATCAAGAAAACAAAGATTCTTACCACTCGGCCAATTGGCAGCACCATGATAAATGGAGAAGAGATTGAGACTCTTAACAATTTCATCTTGTTTGAGTCCACAATCAACACTCTTAGCATCAGCAAGTCAAGAAATCAAAAGGGAAATTGCATTGGGAAAATTTGTTTTCAGGAACCTCTCCAAATTTAAAGTCATTCTGGAGAGTAAGGTGTGCCAATCCAGGCACTGTCCTTGCAATCACCTGCTATGCATCAAAGAGCTGGACAATGATTAAGGATGACAGAAAATAATCCATGCACTTGAGTTGCAGTGTTGGAGAAGAGTGTTCAACATTCAGACTATCAAGAGCACAATTTTGTCCTAGAGAGAATGAAACAAAGTTGCTTCTCGTTCTCGTTGGCAAGCATTCTGAAACTCCATCCACATACTTTGGGCATGTTAACAGAACTATTCCTTGGAGAAGGACATAATGCTTTGAAGAGTGGAGGGATAGCACAAGAGAGGAAGACCCTGGATGAGATGGACTGACACAGTAATCAGGGTAATGGGGTTAGGGTGTTGGAAACAGTGACAACGGCTCAGGATAGGTCAGCTTTCAGAGCTACTGTGCACTGAGTTGCTATGAGTTGCAGGCTACATAAACATAACACCACTACACACACTTTAGATTGGTAAAGTAACAAAACATTTCAAGAAGTATACAGTATTATTGAAGTTTTTTGCTACCAAAGAGATGGACAATGACTAAAGAAGACAGAAAAAGAACTGATGGCCTCTGAACTGTTGTTCTGGAGCAGAGTACTGAACATGCCAAGGACTGCCAAGAGAACAGACAGATCTGTCCAGGAAACTGCTCATTGGAAGCAAAAATTTTGAAGCCCCGTCTGATATACTCTGAGGATGCTGTCAAAAGGGACCAATCCTTGGAGGACACTATTCCTGGAAAGGAAAGGGGTCAGTGCAGGACAGGAAGAACTAGGTTGAGATAGATTGACAGTGACTAGGGCAATGACGTCAATCAAGTGTGTCAGAGATCCTGAGGTTAGCTCAGGATAAGGCAAAGTTCAGAACCATTGTTCTTAAAGTTGCTAGGAGTTGTAGTCAACTCAACAGCAACATGAGCACAATTGAGCATTCAGAGATTCCCATTATCCTTAGTGTTAGCTATAATTTGTTAAGACACAAAGAATCAAATGCTTTTGCGTAGTTGATAAAACACATCATTTTGGTATTATCTGCTTTTGCCAAGAGCCACCTGACATTAGCAATGCTATTCCCACCTTGAATTTCTAGCAGTTCTCTGAATGTATGACGGTTACATTTCTGGTAATTCTCTGCCAATGTAATGTGCTGTTGTTGTTGTTATGTGCCGTCGAGTTGCTTGCAAGTCATAGGGACCCTCTCTGTACAACAGCTCTAAACCCTGCTCTATCCTGTGCCAATCAGACAGCCTCTGACACACCCATCCTGATTACCCCAGTCACTGAATCAATCCACCTCATAAAGGGTCTTCCCCTCTTGCGCCATCCCTCCACCCTCCCAAGCATGATGTACTTCTCCAAGGACTTGTCCCTCCTTACAACATGTCCAAACTATGCCAGACAAAGCCCCAGAATCCTTGCCTCCAAGGAGCAGCCTGGTTTAACCCTCTGCAGGATGAATCTGTTTGTTTCCTTGGCAGTCCATGGTATAATCTCTTCTCCAGTACTACAGCTCAAAGACATCTATTCTCCTTCTCCCTAGTCACTGTCCAACTCTCTGATGCATAACAAGTGATAGCACAGATCATAGCCTGTATCAGACACACCTTAGTCTCCAGAGTGACACCATTGCTCTTCAGTACCCTGGAGAGGTCCCTAACAGCGTATTTTCCCATCGCAATACGTTTTTTTGATTTCCTGGCTACTGGTGCCGAGAGTGTTAACCGTGGAGCCTAGCAGACTAAAGTTGTTAACAATCTCAATCTCTTCACCATCCATCCTGATGTTGCCAATTGGTCCAGTGGTGAGAATCTTTGTCTTCTTGACATTGAGCCTCAATCCATACTGAAGGCTGCAGTCCTTGACCCTCTGCAGCAAGCATTTCAGGTCCTCCTCAGTTTCAGCAAGCAGGGTTGTGTCATCTGCATAACGCAGATTATTAATAGATCTTCCACCAATCCTGACGCCACACTTCTCCTCATAGAGCCCATGTGTGAGCCATAGTTTAATAATCTACAGCAAGATTTTGCTTGCAAGGGATACTAATGATACTGTTGGGTAATTTCCACATTCTGTTAGATCACCTAATTTGTGAATGGGAACAAATATGTCACCTGGACAGTAATGGTCTTCTAATCTTCTTGGCACAACCTGGTGAGTATGCACCTGTTGGTTGAAATATGTCCATCAATTCCTGGAGACTATTTTTTTGCCAATGTCTTCAATGCACCTTGAACTTCTTCATACATTTGGTTCTTGATTATATGCTATATCCTAACATGGTTCCATATGTCATATATTTTCAGTACAGTGAGTGCCATCTTCTTTTGGTATTTCCTGGATCATTCAAGATCTGGCCTATAGCAATCTTTCAGTATTGCAAAACTTGAGGCCTTCAACTGTTTTTACCTGTTTCAGCTTCAAAAATATTAAGCTTCTTCCCCTTTCGTTTAACTAGGTTGTTGCACATTTTGTTTTCATGCTCTGTCTTCTCAAGCTACTCTTTGATCATCTTCTGTTCCTCTCTTCTACTTCGCCATTTCTTGCCTTTGTTTAGGCTTCTTGATATTCTATGGATTCTGCACTTTCCCTCTCCCATCTTATTCCTTACTATCCACTGATTTTTTTTGTTTTGTTTCTCTATTAACTGTTTATCTATTAACTATGTTTATCTATTAATTTATCTCCCCTTCCTCCCTCATTGCTCTCCTTCTTGGTAATTATCAAAGAATGTTTCTTTTTGCATGTAAACACTTAGGTTTTTTTATAATAGTGGACTCACATAGTATTTGTTCTTTTGGATAATAGATCTGCTATAACAAGTATATGCAAAGACTTAACTCAGAATATTTCTCTATTCTTAGCATATGAAGACTGCTACATATCCATTAAGTCCCTTTACTCATCATCTATTTAATTTCTTGCTTCTACTGCTTGCCAGTGATATTTTAACCACAGAAGATGGCAAAACTAGAAATTTTATATTGGTAACTATCCCTGTAATTATCATTAGTAATTAAGAATATAAACAAAGTTTTTTGAGAGGTTGCAAATTCGTCTTACGACATCTATATCCAGAAAATCTAATGAAGATGTTTCATCTTTTGTAGAAATCCCCAATTACATATCATATATTCAAAGTTACATAAGACTTACCCACAAATTCCCAGTATTTTTTATAATCAGCAGGAAATTTCCGTACATGCAATTGATGAAAAATATCTTTATCTGGAGAACTGAGCCACTCCTGTGCAACCTAAGTAAAGCAGAAAAGTAAGTAACAACAACACAAAAAAAATACTAGTAAGGTCACACTAAAGAGTTAAAATTTTCCAAAGTAACTAGAACCTAGAATCCCGCATGATTTAATCTCTGGCAATATAAATTAAGTATATAGAATTGCCCTATTTGTTTCAGTAGCCACTAAGTCACATGAGTTATTTAAAGCCAAACAAAACTCCATTCCTCTCAGTACACCTGCCACACTTCAAGTCTTCAATAGTTATCTGTAGTTACTATGCTGTATAGTATAAAGCATGTTTATCACTGCATGAAGTAATGGTGGCCAGCACTAACAGAATTCTACTTTCAAGCCAGAATGGTTCACAATTCTCCAATAATCTAGATTTATAGGAAACTCTTGAGTTTCCACATTTCACCCTAGCAGCTTTTAAAACTTTCTGATCCCTCTCCCATTTTTTGGTTTTTGCCAAAGCCCAAACCTCAAGAGGACCCATGAGGACCATCTAAAAATGAAGACTTGTTATAGGTGCCTCAAGTCAGTTTTGACAGAGACATGACACACAACAGAACAAAACATGCCCGAATCCTGTTCCATCCTCCCAGTTGTTGTGTTCAAACCCACTGCTGAAGTTACTGTGGTAATTCATTTTTCCAAATCCAGAAAGGATAGCACTTATGTACATAAGTAATTTTTTGTTTCAATTGGAGGGGGAGATCTCTGCTCTATTTTCTTCCCCTTTAAATCTCAAGCCCATAAAAATTTCATGATTAAGCCTGTGTAAGGCTCTTCTCAATCTGTAACTTCCTCCCCTTATCCCCTATTACCACTCATATTGTAAAAGGCACCCTAGACATTTATTCTACTGTTGTATTACCAGAAAGTACAGTAGTCATTTATGAAAACATTTCGTGCTATAAAATTTTTTCAATAATTTTTAAGTATTACACTTTAGATTGCTGAGTATTCCGTCACAAAAACCTGAAATGTTTTATTTACTAATTATCCTGATTTACAACAACTCTTTTGTAAAAAGATATTAAAAATAAATTTTTTATGAATGAACCTAAGCCTATGTTCCTCTGGGGATTATATTCCCAGGGGTATTGCTTGCTGGGTCACAATTTTCATCAAGTTCAGTAGACCACACTCTGAAATAAAAATATTGGTCTGCATTCCTCTTGGAGATGTATAAGAGTTAGCATTTTTCCTAAAAAACTTGGCACTGTTCATCACTCTGCTTTATTCATCTTCTTCTGTTTCCAACAGAGTACGACTAATATTTCGTAGACTTTTAAAATCTGATTGTTATTTTTTTACACACACACACAACCTGTCTTATGTATTGGTTTTATCAAATAATCATTCTACTAAATGTCTCCCAAAAATAATTTGGGCAAAAGTAGCCATTTTTGTACCCCACAGTTTTTGCCATTATGACTTTACTAATCCCAGGTGTGAGGTCATCCACACCATTCAAAAGACATATTTCAGTGTTCAGGTAATAAAAGCTGCCTGAAAGCAGCTACAGGATTCGGGGTAATCGGGATGGGTGTGTCAGAGGCTGTCCAACTGGCACAGGATAAGAGCAGGGTTTAGGGCTGTTGTACATAGGGTCGCCATGAGTCGCAAGCGACTCAACGGCACATAACATCCATCTCTTTATCACCCACACCTGTAACAGCACCTGGCACATATTTCTGTTGTTGTTAAGTGGCATAGATGACCCTATGAATGAAAGACCTGCACATATTAGAAACCTAAATATCTGTTATGTTAATGAGTATTTTCTCTTCAATATTCCAATCACCTCACATCCTCTGTGAACAGCCACACACTCTCAACCCCAAACCAAAAAACACACACACATACTTACTGTTTCAAAAGTATTCAGTATCATCAAAGGAAGAAAAACATCAAAGTAATCTCCACAATCTTGAAATCTAACAGGTACAGGTCTTGAAATGGATTGAGAAAGACTTGCTGGAGGTCCACACTGATCAAAGTTCACAAACATTTCATATTTCCATTTTAAGATCTCTTTAACAAAGGTATCACATATGGACTCAGGAGATGAGAGAATATTTACTAGAGAAGAAGATGGAAAAGATTTGCTTTCACCTAATGGAAGTTTGTAACCTTTCTTACTGGAATTATTTGAAGCCTGAGAAAGAACACTGCAGAAATTCTTTCCTTCACCCACTGGCTTCTGAGACATGAGACACATGGGCAGAGGACCTTTCCCAACGGACTGCACGCCATTTGACTTATTTTTCACTACAGGTGGAAATACTGTATCTTCTAAAGATTTAGAAAGAATAGCACTTCTTGAAGTACTACTTGAGCTAAAAATTTTGGTAGTAGTAGGCCTTAAAGGTTTAGATACAGAAAGAGGCAAACCAGGTTTACGAAATACATCATCATCTGATGGTTTTGCTTCAGTATGTCTTGCACAATAGTCATCCCAGTTTTTTGTGTTCTCAACACAATCTCTGTGCTTACACTTTATGCTACTCAATGACTCCAACTGAGGTAGCCCTATAGAATCTTCTGCCTGAACTGTTTCTTTACCATGATCTACTTCTATGACTGCAGCAGTCTCCATTTGAGAACACAAATCCATATCTACAGGATCATTTTGTGTTAAAAATAAATTCTCATCCTCTGAATCACTGTTAGACTCAGAGTCAACTACTTTCAAAGGAGTCACTTCAGAATGACATACTGGGTAATCACTTCTACTGGAAGAGCCCTCATAAGTAGAGATAATTTTTTCATTTGTTGATGTTCTTCCATTTAACACCACAGGATCACACTGGTTCAACAAAGTAGTTTCAGCCACCTGAGGACTGTATTCTGCTGTTACAGTTTCTGGTTCAGAAGAGTTACAGTTTATTAGGAGTTTTCCACTGCTGTTAGCAGTTGCTTCAGTTCCTCTATTGTAACTATGATCTAACTGGTCAGATTCTGGAAGAGATGTATCAGAGTTCAATGCTGTATGTATCCCAGCCACTGCAGCAGTATTTCCACAACTGACACGTCTTTGTTTACTTCGGTGTGATCTGGCTCGCACCTGCCTTCGCAATGGGCGATCTTGACTTGTCAGCAGTTTCTTATTATTTTTGACAGAGAGAGTCTGAGGAGAAATCAATTTTGTTTTCTTACGAGTTTCAACTTCTCCAACAGTCTTACCATGATCACGTAATTGAAATAGACACTCTAAAGATTGCTGAGATAACACAAATGCCTTACGTGGCGCCTTTTTCAACCCAAGTTTTTCAACTGTTGAAGTTGGTTCTGGATACTGACGAAATTTTTTTGGTGGAACTATAGCAGGAACTGTCCTACAACTTAAGTAATGTGAACTTTTATTTTGCCCTTTTTTGGCATCTGTATGTGTTTTCCTAGTAGTTTTAGAAACTGGGACCTTCCTAATAGGTTTTGAGAGTGTACTATGCTTTGGAGAGGATTTCTTATGTGAAATCACAGTAGTTTTCTGAATACTGGAACTGGGAGTTATAGTCCTCATGGCTGACTTTTCAAAATTCGTTTTGGTAACCTCTCTTTCATTAAGAATATCAGATTGGTCCTCACTTATGACAGAAGTTGAAGGTGTCTGGAGATCTTCAGTCACAGGTTTTTCTAATCGTTTTCTCTTAGATTTTACTTCATTTTCACAAAAGTCAAAAGAAATGTTACTACTCATTGGTTCTGAGTGTTCTTCAATGTTCTTTGCTTTTTCTTTAATAACCTTTCCAGACAGATAATCTGTATTATAAACACAATCATTTGTGCTCTCAGTGATATGAGTCAAACATGATTTAGTTTCAAGGTCTTGAATTAAATTCTTATCTGATTTATGATCTTCCCAAACAGAAAACACATCAAGTGGAGTTTCAAACTCAAAAACCTGAGACTCAGATTCCTCAAAATTGGCTTCTTCTTCTTTTATTAGATTGTTTTCTACATTTGTAGTAGGTACTGAAGAATGCAACTGTGGGCACTCTCTCTTAATGCATTTTTTATCTTTTTTAGTAAGTTTCTCAATACTCAGAACTCTATCGTTATTGTTATCATCATCATCAGAATCGGAAATAATAATAATCTGTTCACAAGATTCACTGACAAAGGTAGATTCACGATTTCGGCTAGCTGTAAAATATCTATCATGTTTTACTTTTTTTTGTAGCTGAGATGAGTCTTTTTTTTGAGTTGAATTGGATGGAAACTTAATAACACTGGCTTGAGCTATTAGAGACAATTTGTGGAGGTCTCGGTCTACTTGAGAATCTGTTAAGGTTTCTGACTTGGGACTAATGTGGGAAGCCTGTTCTGTCAAGTAGGAAGAAACATAATTAGTATTATTATTAATTTCCTTATCCTTTGATTCAAATATAGTCACGGTATCTTTAAAAGATGATGTTGTCTTCACTAAAGTATTGGTTACTTCTGTAAAGATCAAATCTTTACCATCAATATAGCTTTCTTGTATCTCACAACTATTTTCGTGAGAAGAGAAAATATCAAATTTTTCATTCATCATTTGTTTCTTTTTCAGCAATAAACCATTTTCAGAGCTTTGTCTTCCACTTTCATTGTCATTCAAAATATCATTAGGGCCTAAAGATAGATTACGTATGAAGTCTTCCTTTTTCTGACTATCTGAATCTTGCCTTGAATAGGAACGCTCAATGTTAGAGACAATCAAGTTTTCTTCTAAATTGATTACATTATTGACCAAAGTACTTTTCCGGCACTGCTTCTTTATTACATGAGATAATTTAGCACAGATTTCATCTTTCTGTGCCTTAGTTTTTGGTTTTAATGTTTTGCCAAGAGTATGATCCTTTAAAGAGAAATTCTCATTTGATGTGGACACCTTTTCTAGAGAACTAATGTCAGGATCAGTAAACATACTTGTTGACATTGTTACTCCTCTGTCAGACCCCCTTTCTGGACCATTTCTTGAAGTACAGTTCTGTGGTACATAGGCAAAGTTCTCCTTTATAGACTTCTGTGTCCATGTATTTATTCTAACTTGATCTTGAGATCTTTCAGTAAGAAGGCTTTCACACTGTTTTAAGCACGATTCAGCTGAAAGATGGTCTTCTTCTTCTAGTACTGAATCTTTTACATAATTTTGCTCACTGTCCTTTGCCACAGTGCTACTTGCTGTGATCGATATACTCTCTTGCACCTGAGCCCCATCAGCTTTTATTGGTTCTTTAGAAAACGTAGGGCTAGAATTTTCCAGATAATACGTATCTTTTTTGGACTTCTTCCCTATCTGTTCATTATCTTCTTTAGAAGATACAGGAGGAGACAGACATGTAAGAGGCAGATCTATAGAAGTGCTACTTGGAGGGGTTTTGACTTTTACATTTTTAATAATTTGCTTTAGACAAGTTTGTAATTCAATGGTTTCCTCATCAGTCAATTGCCATCCTAGAGATAAATTTCCTCTTAGGAATAAGTTGAGCTTATCCCAAAATCGCTTACAAAGAGTTTGTTGCCCAAGATGATAACCTTCTTTAAGCAGACTTCTAATCAGCTGTACACAAGCAAGCTGTACAGAGTTAGACGGCATTGAATGCAATGACAAAGAGGATATTGTTATTCCTTTGGTGCAATTTCCAGATGATTTCTCAGAACTCCGTGCAAATGCAGTAGTAGGCAGCTTGGCACATTTTACCACAGCTTCCACCCATTTCTGGGAACTAATCCACAGCAAATGCAAACACTTTCTATTTCTATGTAGTTCAATTACTGACACCAAAATCAGAAGAAAAAATTCTGTGACTTTGTCACAAACAGCATCTCTTCGGTTGAGAATATCTTTCACTTCGGAGTGCAGATGATGAATAACTTCTACTATATAAGCCACACCCAAATCCTTAAGATCCATGAGAGACTGAACAAAAGGGATGAACCATAGAAATGTGCTGTTATGAACACGCATGTCTTGTCCAATATCTGACTGAAGCACACTGGCTAATGTTTCCATTTCTTCATACATGTTAGGACAATAATCTGGACAAATGGCAGACCTCCATCCTGAATCCTAAAATGAAAGGAAAACAATTATATGAAAAAGTATCATTTAGGTAGGGTGGGGCAGGTGGGCTGGGGTTGGTGTTAAATTAAGGGGCTGTGGCAGTTGGTAGGTGGAGGAAGGGAGGAAAAAACAAAACCACCACCAAAACAATGTACACAAATGAAGCACTAGGTTGTTATGTGCCACGGAGTTGCCTGTGACTCATAGTGACCCTATGCACAACAGCCCTAAACCTTGCTCTATCCCTTGTCAATCTTATTGTCTCTGACACACCTATCCCCATTACCCCAGTGACTGAATCAATCCATCTCATCGAGGGTCTTTCTCTCCTCCACTGTCCCTCTCCAAGGACTGATTCCATCTTGCAACATGTACAAAGTATGTCAAACAAAGCTTCAGAATAAAAAAATGTACCCTCCAATATAAATTTATTTTATTCCATCAAAAGTTTAATGTATAAACTGCAAGAAGGAAGATATAGTTTATCAGCTTTTCTATTTTTCTCTATTATGTACTCTTTTTATATATATCCCAAGAAATAAAAAAACTTGTATTAAACTACAAGACTAATGTTTCATGAAAAGACACATTTCCGCCACCTTCCGTGCACCCCAGTCTTTCCACTCTGGTTTTTTTTTCTGTATGTCTCTCTACACATACTTTAATCTCCTTACTGACACTTAAAAATTAATCCCTTTCTCCCCACATAAAATACCTGTTCAATCTAAAGTATTCAAATGCAGTGTTTTTATTCTGAACAGTTACAGATTAGAAAATCAGGAATTCAGCTATTTGTTAAGAGTCTATTGAATACAAACCAAAATACCCACTTCCTAACTCACAGAAATAGAAATCCTCCATAGGGATTTTGATGCTTTAATCTTTACAAGAGGAAACTGTCCCAATTCATCTTTCCTCCCGAGAGGCTGGAGGAATGAACTGCCAACCATCCAGTTAACAGCCCAACACATTAGGTATTTTACTATCATGGTTCCTTATACAATAAAAAGGCAATTAAAAACATATCATTTAAATTCTCAAAATATTTAATACCTTTTTTGTCTTTTCAGGATTGAAATTGTATACAATCTGGCTGCAAGTCACCATATCATCCAATAATGGCTCCGGTTCTAGCTTGGTCCTTTAAATATTAAGAGCAAACTGAAATCACTCAAGTGAAAAAGCGTACCCCTTTTTGTTAAGTTAGGTGCAACACACAGTCTCTCAGGGAAAGGAAGGCTCTGTTGTATGTTTGGATACCTTTACTGTATGTTAGTATTGTGGATATATACCACCGAGCTGGAACTGATTAACAGCTGACCCTACTACAGGTTTTCAGAAACAGTAAATCACATGGAAAGAGGCAGCCCATTTTTCTCCTCTGGCATAGCTGATGGATTCGAACTGCATACCTTTGGGTTGGCAACACAACTCCTTACCACTAGACTACAAAAACAGTTTCTTTTTAAATCCTCACTTTTTCACTTTTCACTTCCACTGAACTAACCTTACAGAGCTGCTGCGTATATTCTGGATCTCTTTGTTGTAGCTTACATTGTTGATAATGGTCTGAAATGCTTCAATAGGATCAATTAGTTGACCCCAGACCTTAGATCCAAGTCGATCCAGAATCACCATGAAACAGTGTAATGCTGGCCAAAAAGGGTCCACACTATCATCTGAAATACAATGGAATAACATGAATTATAACATATTCAGAAAAAGGATATATTGAGAATTAAGCGTTCTTTATCTGGGTAGCAACAAATCTAAAAAAAGAAGGTAATTTTTAAATTTCTTTTAACAAACTCTTTACTGTGCTTCTGAGTGAAAACTTTACAGAGAAAATTGATTTTTCCATTCATTCACAGATTTTTTTATGACATAAAAGCCCAGACATTATAGTAGTACTTTTTCTACCTGCTCCTTCTGGGTTTTATTTCTATTCATCCTTCTACTCCATTTATTTCTGCCATTTCTCCTTAGGCAAATACTGCCTTTTGATCTTGTATGATTGCTTAAGAAGTGAGTATCTTCCTGGTATTATTGTTCACCTTATAAGGATGTCTTTAATTTAGCTGAAAATTGAAACCCCAGAGATGAAATAAGAGGTTCCATCAATCTCTTTCAGACCAGTAAGTCCTAGTCTTTTTTATAATGTTGAGTTTTGTTCCGCATTTTGAACTCACTCTGTGCAGGAGTAGTGGCCCACCATCACCAGATTCTTCTAGTTTCAACAGTACAGGAGGCTGAAGCTCATTTGCTCACAATAACAGGCCTTTGGACTGTTTGTACAATCTTTGATTACTGTAGTCTTCTTTGTTAAGGGCAGGAAGAGACCAAAAGTTCCATGGCAGATGGCCTCACACACAATGAAGTAGAATAAAAAACACTCTTTCTGTGGACTATGTTAAATGAAGTGACCCTGATATCCTCCAGGGCTATCATCCTGACACCTAGGCCTAGCAACTCATTCCATTAAGAGTATCTGGTTATGATTAAGAAGTGTATTATAGAACGTTGTCTTCTGTTAGCTCTAACACACACAGGTAGGTATATTTGCAGCACAAATATGGATGCAGAACTGTCAATAACAAATGGTTAATGAAGTCTTTTTCACCTGCCTGTATCTGGTCATCTAGTCTATGTATATATCCACTTTAGATGAATGCTTGTTATTATTGATGGTATAGGGTTATGCATATGATATTTAGCTCTGATGTCTGTATCTCTTCAGGACTCATCTTTCCTTTCTCTAGTGATATTCTGCTAATCACCCTCTTACTGAATACTGTCTTTCCCTTCACTCAACTTAATGTGTTTTTATCATTTTACTGATTTTTCTTGTTTCCTCCTCCCATCTGTGGAAACCATTAAAGACAATTTCTTTGTGTAAACCTTTCCTTATACAATGTATGCCCTTCTGTGACTGACAATGCAACATCTTTACATTTATAAACAGAAAATTATTTAAGATAAAACACTGTCAACGTGGAGGGGGGGGAAACCCACAGATTTTTGTTGACAAATTTAAGAAAAAGTTTATGCCTTTTTTTTCCCAAAACAACAGTATAATTTTTTATAAAGAAAATTTTTTAATGGAAAACACATTGAGACCATTTAGGCAAACATAACCTGTCCACTGTTTGCCACACTACAATCTTTTTCTACTCAGCTCTTCAACTCCTCTCAGAATGTTTTAATTCAATAAAAAAATAAAAGTAGAGAGGAAAGAGAAGAAAAACATAGCAGTTTAGTTTTCCACAAAGTCTGTTATACAAGAAATGCTCCTGTGGTCTAATTCTAAATTGTGTGTCATGAGTCTACTATTAAAGACCAAGTTTTCATTCTATCATTAGATGGATTTCTCAAGATCAAACAGGTTCCCTTTCCTGAGATTTACCTAGTTCTTCTACAAAAGAATAGTGCTGAAATAAACCTGATTCTTTCCATTAAAATCCTGAATCTGTGATCTAAACCACATTAACAATCCTTATTTTCTCCATAACAAAAAGAAAAATTCTTGCACTGACTCTAGTGTTTTAAAAGTACATCATAACAATTCAGCAAAGTAGCAGGACACAAGATCAACATACAAAAATCAGTTGGATTTCTCTACAATGACAAAGAAACTACAGAGTCTGAACTAAGAAAAACAATACCCTTCATAATAGCGAATCACAAGATTAAATACGTGGGAGTAAATCTAACCAGAAGCACAAAGGATCTAGGCAAAGAAAATTACAAAACATAACTACAAGAAACAAAAAGAGACCTGGAGAAGTGGAAAAATACCCCTTGCTCATGGATGGGAAACTCAATATTGTGAAAATGGCAATACTACCAAAGGCAATTTACACGTTTAATGCAATCCCAATAAAAATACCAATCCCATTCTTCAAGGAGATGGAAAAGGTAATCTCCAGTTTCATTTGGAATGGAAAGAAGCCCCAAATAAGCAAAGCACTCCTCAAAAATAGAAAAAAGGTAGGAGGCATCTCACTCCT